ATTGTGATAACAGTATAGGTATTAGTCAAATAAAGCACATAAGAATAAAGCAAATCTGATGAGATTGTGATAACAGTATAGGTATTAGTCAAATAAAGCACATAAGAATAAAGCAAATCTGATGAGATTGTGATAACAATATAAGTGATAGTCAATTAAAGCACATAAGAATAAAGCAAATCTGATGAGATTGTGATAACAGTATAGGTATTAGTCAAATAAAGCACATAAGAATAAAGCAAGTCTGATGAGATTGTGACAATATTAGTATTTGCATTGGAAGTCTATTTTTCAATATTTTAGTATATTTCAAGGAAAGTGGGGATATGTTTTGTACGTTTTGTCCGTTTGTTTTCAGAAGAACGATAAGAAAAGTATAGTTCAATTATAATTAATACTACTATAATTCTGTCATTTTAAATGTTGTGTATGAGCTACGTACTTGCAACTACATGAAAATCATTTATTAAGTTAACATGTAAATTATTTCCAAATAAAATTAAAATGTCGTAAATAATTTGATGGCTGTGATTTTTTTTTGTTTTGTTTTATAGAGTTACAACGCTCAACTCCGGGGTTCGATTCCCTTCGATTGACGCAGCAGATAGCCAAATGTTGCTTTGCTCTAAAACAAACAAAGGAGCAAACGATCTAATGTTTTATTTAACGTATATTTAATTCGGTTTCAGTTATTTGTTTGTAGTGCAAAATGAGTATTATAGAAACGATGACATATAGTTGTTCCTCATACAGTATTAAATAAGGATAAGAACTAGTATTAAAGATGAATGGTTTGAATTTCGCGCAAAGCTGCACGAGGGATATCTGTGCTAGCCGTCTCTAATTTAGCAGTGTAAGACTAGAGGGAATGCAACTAGTCATTACTACCCACCGCCAACTCTTGGGCTACTCTTTTACCAACGAATAGTGGGATTGATCGTAACTTATAACGCTTCCACCGCTGAAAGGGCGAGCATATTTGTTGGGACGGGGATTCGAACCCCCGACCCTCAGATTGCGAGTCGAGTGTCTTAACCACCTGGCCATGCCAGGCCCAAGATGAATGTAGTTAGTATAACTGTTCTTCGAGAATTGTAAAAAAAATCTCTAAACTTGTATATTTACGGACATTAACTTTATGTTACTTAATTATGCCATTCATCAACCAATTTGTCAGTTTTGCTACGACAATATAGAACAATTACTAATTTATTTAATTACTCTATAAAAAATAGATATATATAAACAAGTTACTATCTTCCTATCTCAGCGGATACATATTTTTGGGAAATAACAAAAACTTGGCAGTAATCTCTACATACCAAAATTTATAGTTGCATATGCACACTGCCTGATATTTTACTTGCTTTTATAACTTTTTCTTTACAGCCTTATTGTGTTTTTTAACGCGTTAGAAATTTTGTATCGATATGCTAAAAAAAAAGGAACATCACATTTTCAAAAATTACATCATTCGCTTCTTTCATATCGTATTGCCGCTAATTAACGCCCCCCGGGGGTGTTGCAAACTGCCACGGGGGGCGCTAATTATAGTATTTGTGTAGTTCCAGTTTCTATTTTTCACGTGTGATTTGTTGATTTCAATGCTAATAAGTGTATGTGTTTTCTTCTATTTTTTTTCAAATCAAAAATTACAGTAATAAAGTGGATTATATGTTGGATTACTATTGCTGTCACACAAGGTAAGCATTATAAAAATACCGGAGGGGAGGTAATTAAAGAGGGAGCGTTAGTTAGGGACAATACTGTAAAAAAATCTCCCCATTGTTCTTTCTTTTTTTATTTAAACGAAAAGCTGCACAGTGAGATATCTTCTTTGTGTCCGCTGCAGGGATCATACCTCAAATTTTGATTTTATAAACTCTCGACTATACCGTTGAGCCACCGGAGGCTTAATTATTAGCAAAACAAAAGTATAGGTATTAGGATTATTTTTGTATTTTTCAACGTTACGATAACCTTGAAATGTAACTCACATAAGAAGAAATATATATATATATATATTAATTTTTGGGCGAAGTTATATTATAGGAAATAAAAGAAGAAACCAGAGTAACACAGCCAGTTTAAAAATGATCCCATCGTGCTTGCTCTGGTAAAATCTGATTTATTTACTATTTGTGTGTGTGGACCCATCGAACAAATGACACCGTTGCTTCGATTTAATATACTTCTAATAATAAATACGTAGATGGAGTTTTGGCTTGTTAGTTAAGCTTTTAATGAATTAACCTAAGGATTAAAACTTTAAAAACTATGTAACCTTTCGGTTTAAGCAATTCGCAACATCCTTTA